GGGCTGGTGAGAGGGCTCAGTGGTCTAAAGCACCTACTTACAACAAGCTTAACTAAAGCATAGGGACCACGGTTCAATCCCCAGCACCACATGCCAGCCAGCCCTGCCCCCTGGTGGGCTGAGCTGCCCCCCACATAAATAAATAAATATATAAAGACACTTTGCAACAAAGTCATTTTAAAATAAATAAATAAATAAATAATCCTTTAAATGTGTCTTCCTTATCATTTATCATTAAGGTTTTTTGTTTCATTTTTATATTTTTGAGACAGGGTTTCAGGCTGGCCTTGAGTTCACTTTGTAGCCCAGGCTCCTCCTGCCTCAACCTCCCAAGTGTTGGGATTATAGGAATGTGCCACCACACCAGGCCTAAGGTTTTTGTTTTGTTTTAATCATTAAGGTTATTGTGGCTAGCCATGTCAGAACATGCCTGTAACTCCAGTGGGGCACTCAGGCAGAAGGAACAGGAATTCAGGGTCAACCTGGGCTGTATATCAAAGCCCTGTCTCAGAAAACCAAAACAAAAAGATTTCTGTGCTGGATTCATTTATAATAGAAACTTTAAAAATGGTTGCAGGGGCTGGTGAGATGGCTCAGTGGTCTAAAGCGCCTACTTAGAACAAGCTTTAGCAAAGCCCAGGGACCACAGTTCAATCCCCCAGCACCACATGTCAGCCAGCCCGCCCCCTGGTGGGCTGAGCTGGCCACACACACACACACACACACATAAATAAAATTAAAAAAAAAAATGGTTGCAGCTCTATTTTTATTTTTATTTTTATTTTTTCATTGAGATAGGGCCTCACTATATATGTAGTTCATGCTGCCTTTTCTGTTTTGAGGGCCTGGGGACTGAACCCAGGACCCTGCGCTTGCCAGGCAGGCGCTCATGCCGCTGAGCTATTTCCCCAGCCTTCAGGCTGCCTTTGAACTCACTCACTATGTACCACAGGCTGGCCTCAAACTTTCAGCAATCTTGCCTCAGCCTCCTGAGTGCTGAGATTACAGGTGAACACCACCACACCTGGTCCATAGCTGGCTTTTTTTTTTCCTTTTTAAAGTTAGTAAGGGTATTTCCTACATGGGCTTTTAGTGATTTTGAAATGTGTTATCTATAGCACCTGTGGGATCAATAAGTACCATATTCGTGTGTAGGGAATGTACCATCATGCCTGGCTCATTCATGTCTATTTAAAAAATGTGTGTAACTATTAATAATTCCAGTCCTAATTTAGGACTGGAAAAAGCCCCGCCAAAAAAACAACATGGGGATGAGGCTTGACTAAGAGTGTCTGACTCAGGGCTGGTGAGATGGCTCAGTGGTCTAAAGCACCTTCTTAGAACAAGCTTAGCAAAGCACAGGGACCGCGGTTCAATCCCCCAGCACCACATGCCAGCCAGCCCCGCCCCCTGGTGGGCTGAGTTGGC